TATATATATAAATTAAAACGTCCTTCCGAAGCGGGCGACGGGACTTCACTTCCGGCGACCGACATCTTCTTACGGGCGACACCCAACTTCAAACTTTCTTTTGCTGTCGACACCCCAGTGAAGATCAAAGCTATTATGACATAGCCTAAACCCCAATCATTCACTCAAGTACTTCTCCTTCATGGTTTGAATTTTTCTACAAGAGATTTATCAAAAATTTCAGCTCAATTGCAGCACTCTTGATGAAGCTTTTCAAGGGTACAAATTATTTTTTATGCTATGAAGAAATAGATAAACTAAGACCCTTGTTCTAACACTTTCAAATTTTGGCCAAGTATCTGAGGTGGAGTGTGATGTCTTCAATGTGAGAATTGAAGCTATGCTGAGTCAAGGGGGACAACAATGGAAAGCTGAATAATTCTAGGAAAAAGTACTATCTATAACAAACAGTCTTATGTCATTGTGAGCGCCCTCAATAACTGGAGCTATTATATGTTGACAAATGAGTTCTCCCTACATTAATCATAAGGCTTTATGATTCCTGAATGGTCAACGTAAGCTGAAAAGCAAGCATGCCCCTTGGGTTGAGTTCCTGTACCCTATTCACATTATGCTCAAGTAAAAGAACAATAAATCAGAATAAATTAGCAGTTGTGGTGAGCCGCAACTATTTATTAATCACTATTATGTAAATCAAGGTACTTGGTTTTGAAGTGCTAAGAGATGTGTATGCCACTAACAAGGATTTTCAGGAGATTTGTGTTCATTGTCAAGATTGATTGTACTAATAGTTTCACATATCATAAAGATACTTATTCTTTTAGAAAAGATTATGCATTCCCAGGAGTTCTCTTAGAGAGTTTATTTTATATGTGTCACAATACAGAAATGACCAGACACTTTGACAAGGACTATATTACTTCTTTAGTGAAATAGACTTTTTACTGACCGAAATCAATATGAGATGTGGAGTGAAATATCAGACAGTGTACAATATGTCATTTGGCTAAAAATTGAGGACTAAATATAGGTCTACCCACTCCCCTTCCTGTTCCAAAGTTGTCATTGTGGTGGGTTTACCCCCGGACACAATGCATAAAAGACTCAATTATGGTCTTAGTAGACCACTTCTCCAAGATATAACACTTTATATTCTACCACAAGACAGAATGCATCACAAATTGCAAGCTTGTATTTAAAAAAATAATTCATGTGCATGATGTACCCAAAACCATCACTTCAGACAAGAATGTAAAATTTTTTAGTCGCTTTTGGAGAACTTTATGGGATAAGTTAGGTACAAAGCTACAGTTAAGTTCAACAGCAAACCCAATAGTCATATAGAGGTGGTGAATTATAGTATGGAAAATCTTCTCAAGTGCTTTGCTGGAAAATACAATAGGCAATGGGATTTGGTGCTTGCTCAGGTTGAATTTGCCTACAATCAGTCCACCAGCATAGTCTCTTTGAGATTATGTATGGAAGGAATCTCCTTATACCGTTGGAGTTAGTGACGGTACATACTACCAAGGTTAACATTGATGCACACACTAAAGTCAAGGAAATTTAGATTGTGCATGAACAAATTAAAGAGAAAATTGTTAGGCAGCAAGTCCAGAAAAGCTAAGTCTTTTTAAGGAGGGTGGTATGAATTAGATATAAGAAAGAAAGAATTCCTGTAGGTTCTTTTGGGAAGTTCAAGCCCATAATAGCGGCCATTGAAGATTATCAAGAAGATAAATGACAATACATACATGAATGAGACTTGTGGCACTATAATATTTTTGTGATCTTTAATGTAGTTGATTTGTCATCGTACGATGAGAATTCTGGTACATACAAAAAAAGAAGATGAAGTTTTTCCTAATTGGGGAGAGTAACATATCCTGCAATCCTATAATTGCGGGATTGAAGTGGGATAGGGTCCCATCTCATGAAATGAAATTTCTACCGGCCCTTTGCTGCTCTAGCCAATTTGAAGAAATTTTACTATTATTTTAATATTATTTTAATTAGAATTAGGTTTATACTGCACGAAAACTTTTTCTAAGTTGCAATGTTCTGATTTTGGAGATTTTTGATTGGTTTATGTTATTTGAGAATTTTACTCCCTCATTTCTCCTAATTTCATAGTTGTAGCATATTTTTCTTTTAAGTGGTAAATATGTATCTGTGGTAGAATCTCCCCATCATCCGTACTTCACCGTTTTGTTGTTTTCCTCACTGCTTTCAAGTCGGACAACCGACAAACTGCTGTTCTGATGTCCAGTTTGTTGTCCAACAATAGTTTTTTGCTGTCCGCAACTGTCGTCGTCATTTTCACTTCTGCTCCTCATCTTACAACCTCCAAATCCATCTCCTAGCCCTCCCACACTGACTAGTTTCCCTAGTTCGGCATCAGAACCCTTTGCGGTCCATAGAATTCAACTTTATGATGATACAAAGCACTTCATTCTAAAGGAGCCTATGCCAACTCAATCCTTCAAAGTTGTTGCACCATTTCTGAAACCGAGAACACAATCTTAATGGAAGTTAAAGCAAAAATGGAAATAAAAAAATAGATCAAGCCCTCCGAAAGCTACTAGTGCTTATGTCAAAGTCAAAGTGGAGAGTCCACAGAATAAAGTGACACAGAACAAGAGGATATTGCCCCTCTCAATTCCAAGAATAAATGCAAAACTCCCTGCAAAAAAATAAACAAAGAACGTAGTTCATAATCAAATGTGGCCCTATGACTTTATCTTTTAAAAAAAGAAAATGTTTCCTTAATGAGGGTGACCAACTCCTTAGTTTTAAAGCAAGAATTGGTTGTCATTCCGATCTCTCCTAAGCATTATAAAAAGCCTGCCATAATATCGAGGAGTTGAGTAATCAAGATTTTTTTTAACAAATCCAGGGAATTCCAGGGTTAAAATTTTAATTGTGAAAAAATTATTACCCTATGGCCTTCCTAGTAAAAAACTAACAAGCATCATGCATTTCTCCACATTCAAAGTAGACAGCTATAAATGCTCGCCTCCTATTACCAAAAGACCTTAGCTTAGGTGGTATGCCCATAATAGACACTAACGTAAGGGTCTCAGAATCCAATCTAAGTAGGCATGGCTATGATGAATTTCTCCAAAAGCAGAGTAAATTTATGATTTGTAATTAGCCTCGTACCCATCTTAGATCTGTATTTACTTTAAGCTCACCTTATATTTATACTATCTTCAGGCCTACCAGATGAAAATATGAGATAAATTTTGATACTTAAAAAAAATTGCTTGCCTGCTGCTCAAGTTTGAAAAGATGCCGATTGAAGTATTGTTGCAGCCATTCATTAGTATAATTTATACAAAGCTGTTCAAAGCCGTTATTCTGCAACAAAATATAAGCCTAATAAGCAAGTTTTATACAAAATGAAAAAGAATATAATCATCAAGAGATTACAGATAACACGCACATGAAATGATTCAAACCCGTAAATATCTAGAATACTAATGCATCGTCCAGTACGCCTTTTTCCAGGTTCAAGTGAGTTGTTGATTTGCTCAACCAGCCACTCAAACAAGCAATCATAAATTAATTTTGCTAATGCATCACGAGTGGCAATGGCCTGCAGAAAATTATTGTACAAATAAAAAGTTAAGCACGAGAAGATCATGAAATAAAAAAGATGATTTGTCCTATAATGTCGAAGTTCTTCATATTTTGGGCTCCCAAAAAAAAAAGTAATGAACAAATTTATACTGTATAACCAATAACAAAACCTGTTGTAATGTCAATCTTTGGACAATGCTAATATTCCCTGCTTGAATTGTATGAGTTGATAAAGCTAGCATGAGGTCATCAACTTCACAGCCCATCAACTTAGCTGCACTTGTTACACCTGTAAGAAAATTCAAAGTTGTAAATATCGTAAGACTAAACACCAAAATAGGCGCCCATTCATTCGTGTGTAGAAAACTCAGTCCCAAATTATTACATTTTTTCAATTTAGCCCAAGAAAAAACAGGTTAGATCAATTTTGTATGGGCAAGAAATTAAATTGGAAAGATGTGATACTCAGAGACAAAATTGGAGACGTAAATAGTTGAGGGATTGCTTTCAAGTTTAGCCCTTAATATCATGTCCCAACTCCGAGCACAAAATACATAGGTAAAGCCCAAGGAAAAGTATAAAAACTACTATTATGGAGATGCTCCTAAAGTGCTAATAAAATATAACCTGTATATAAAGGCTTGCAACATCCAATTAGTACAAGAACCATGACTGAAAGCTAACTTAGGATTATAGAGATAGTCACTAAACTTTAATAAATGATAAAAAAGTCTTGCAACTTCTTTTAACTATTCCTAGTACCATGATTGAAAGCTAACATAGAACTAAGAAAATAATCATTGAACTTTAATAAATGATAATCTGCATGCAAATGCTTACACTTAAATGTTACTAGAACCAGATTAAAAGTTAGTTGGTCATACCTAAGTTTAAATTTAAGCAAAAAAAATCATATTTAAAGCCCCTTCTGAGTTACTCAGCTTTTAAGGAACCAAAAATATGAGTATATGATTAAAATAATTCTTAGACTATTTAGTTGTAAACATTTTAGCCCTGGAATTAATTTTTAACCCAGTTTGGTTCCTCAATTTATCAAAACATGACTCTTTTGTTCCTTTTATTATAGTATATTAGCGGTTTAGAATTAATGAAAATGGGTCGCAACTAAAGGTGTGAACGAGTCAAATCGAGCTCAAGTCACCTTCAACTTGAGCTTGAGCTTAAGCTTGTGCTTGACTAATTAATCAAATTCGAGCTCGAGCTCAATTCTACGAGTTTGAGCCAGCTCACAAGTCGGCTTGTTTATTATGAAAGAGAAAATCAATATTAATTCAAGTCAATTGTATAATAAAATAACACATAGAATGAGCATTTAAGAGATAAGATAATAAATCACTTGATATAAAAACTAAAATATCAACTTTTAAATATTTTTAAGAATTTAAAGAAAAAGTTTTGAATTTTAATATGTTTTTAGTATATTTAATGCTTAATTGCGGTTTAGACAAGCCGACTCACGAGCTAACAATTCAAGCCAGGGTTGTCTTGAATATGGCTTGTTAGCTTATCGAGCTCAGTTGGCAAGCCACTTATCGAGCCATGCCTAAGCCAGCTCATGAGTTAGCTTGGCTCAGTTACACCCCTAATCACAAAGAGTCTTTAGCTATGGGCCCTATCAACCTTCAACGATTTATGAGATACAGTCATTGCAAGGTAAAATCCCAATCAGCAATTTGTTTAAACTAAATTCAAATTTATTTAAATTCATCAATTAAACGAACTGATTATTGCTATAATGTTGATTTAAGGAGGTGAACTCGTGGCGAGCCTAAAGAAAATCATCGCGATGCAAAATTAAGAAGAATAAATTTCTATAAGATTTTTTTTATATATTTCTATAGGATTAATATGTGGTATATATTGATATGAATTTGCATTTAATTTTTTTTTATATTGCATATTGTGGAATACCTACATATCTTGTAGAAATGAAAACTTGAGCAAATCCTACTAATTTTACTAATTTTTTATTATATTTGTGGACATATACATTAGGCAAATTATTTGCAGGTACACTCATATAATTGTGAATGCATATGAGAAGAGATTTTTAACATATAAAATAATCAAAAAAATGTCACAAGTGTTGTGATAAATAGACTATTGTACATATAACCTGCACGGGTAAAAATGATAGAAAAATTATAGAATTCTCGACTCTTGATTGAGATTAGAAAGGATATTTATGTATTAGAGGGTTGTTAATAATTGTTATATTAGGAGAAGACCAAGCATTATCAGTGGTTGCTATAAACGACAGATTAGGTGATTACCTAAATAAAAGAATTAAGTCAAAATCTATACAAGTACAAGTGATATTCATGTGACGATAGAGCATAAATAAAGTAAAGAAATTGATGTTATTGTGCAAAAGATTCATTGAAATATGTGCATATTACAATTTGTTACTACCTATTTTTATGTCATTCTTCATATATTTCATGTGATCAAAACATGTTTATTTTGTACTATAGTCAATCATACTAGTCAATGGTTAAGCATACACAATATTTTTTTCTATCTATTGAATCTCTTAGCACTAATTATTTTATTGAGCTTGTAAATTATTACAGTATGTTATTGATTTTCAAAGAGGGGTAAGAAGCATCAGGGGAATTATCGAGGTAAGCCTTTGTACAACTTTTGAATTGTGAGGATTTGGAAGTGTCATGAATATTTTGGGATATGTATATCTAAATGTTTGATGTTTAGTAACTCTGATTATGTTTTGTGAAATTATTATGCATGTTTTCTTATTTTGAGAATGTGAATGAATACTAAATTGAATAATTTCTATTTGTGATTATAGTGAGACTAATTCACCGATCACTGAATCCTGAATAGTATGAGTTAGACTTAAGTGTTTGTAGGAAATATGTCTGACTGAGTCGTCTATCCCGGTTGCACAATTGCTTGACTCTAAGAGAAGGATTGGGGGGGGAGGGGTGGAAGTAAATTAAAAGAAGTAAAAGTAAATATAGATTCCTATGTTTATTTCAATTTAAAATGCGACTCCCATTACACCAAATACAGTTTTGGCAATTCCTCCCAAATATTTGAGCAAAGCAAAATAATCAAAGTAGTCACATTGAAGGCTTACTAAAATATCAACTAATTCACAAGATATGAAACATGAGGTGGGACCAATGAAAGTAAATATTTAGTACCATCATCGGGAAGGACTCGGACTTCTTCCTCATTGTCAATTATTTCAAACTTCACATTACCAAGCCACAATATTGCTGCAATCATTGCAAATGCAGCCTCCTGATCCTCCTTGCAGATTTGAACAGCGTCAAATGCTTCCTGCAAATTAAAAATGGATAACTATCAAAGATCGTTAATGACTTTTAAATCCAAAACAAAGAAAAAGTAAAGTGCCAAAATAGTTACATGGTCATTTAAGTCATAAAGATTATAAAAATTATCAAATTAGCCCCAGACTATTTTAATATAAGCTGAAATAGCCCGCAGGAAGGACTATTTTAGCCCCCGTTAAAGTAGTCTGGAGCTAAATTGACACTTTTTCTATAATTTGGGGCTAAAATGATCCCCGACAAAAAGTCGGGGGACTATTTTGACATTTTTCTCCAAGTAAAAAGAACAAATAGAATCACAGTAGCATATACAGAAGATACCATCAGCACATGAAACATTTTCGCATCATCAACTTCGGAAATACTTAAACAGTCACTTTGATTTAAATATTCATATTCAAGTGCAGACTTCAGGTTGAACTTATCTGATAAAAACATTAGCTCAATAAGGAAATCCATTGCTGAATAAAAAATCACATGTACATAGATAAAGATTGACAAACTCTAGCAGCTACCTCTAAGAACTAAGGGAGCTCCTCCACATAGCTGGTAGAAAATATGGTATGATCTTTCACCATTTGCACTGCGAACCACCCTAGACTGCCATGCAAAAACAGAAGTCTCAAAAACAACTAAACGAATGGTGAAAGGGTTGAAATGGTATTAGAAGTACCTTTTCAAGTAAAACTGCCCAGTAGAATGAGAGTTAAAGCAGCATGACAAAAAAGAAGGAACAAATGCAATTCAGATGATTAAAAGGTAATAAATACGCAAGAAGCAAATAAACTACAGAAATAACAAATCGCTGACACAACTTTGCTTACAGGTTTGCATTTTAGCCCCACAAATTGTTCCAGTTTTGCTAAATTGCATCTCAATCAGCTTACCCTGCATTAAAAGCAGTAGCAAATAGCCTAGATGAAATTAACAGTATATTAAATAAAGAACAGAGAGGAGAAGGACAGAAAAAACTCACAAATCTACTGGAATTGTCATTTTTTGAAGTTTTGGCATTCCCAAATGCTTCCAGAATGAGATTTGCATGCAAAATTTTACGTTCTATCCCACTGTCACCTCCAAGGGAAGCCAAATACTGCATCGTTATTTTTGCTGTTTCAGTCTTACCTGCTCCGCTTTCACCGCTGCCACGCAAGTAATATGTTGAAATCCATAAAAATGTCACCTATGAACCATAAAACAATAAATAGCACAAAAGACAAGACAGAACTTTGTAATGCATTTTAAAGATAGAAATATTTACCTTATGACAACAGCTTGGTTTAGTCCATCTGTTCCGAAGAAAAAAAAAATATTTTGAAACATGAGCATATTATTCAAATCCATAATGAAATGCACTGATAGAGAAAACATAAGATGAGTACACCAGTTTATAATGAAGAAAGAACAATACTAGAGTAAGCTGTCACAATAGTACCCTAAGCATTTACATGCGGCTATTTTAGTCCCAGAGTCTATAATAGTGTCAAATTAGTCCATAGTCTCTTTCAATATGGGTTAAAATAGTCTCAATAGAAAATTACTTTAGACTCCGTTTAAAGATTCAATGACTAAATTGGCACTTTTCTAGACTCTGGAACTAAAATGGAACACTACAAAAATCAGGGGACTATTTTGACACTTTTCCCGACAACAATATCATACACACCTCTCATCAATCCACTGAAAGCAGCATCTGCAACAGCATAGACATGTGGAGAATGAAGAGTTTTATGCCTATAGGCTCCAATGAAGTCATTGCCATAAAGATGAACCCTTTTCAAGGGATTTACTGCAACTAAAACAGGTCCTGCTTTTGTCTGCCAAAGAAGTTGAAGACCACAAGATATGAGTAAAACGTCCATATCGTGGAGGAGAAATAACAAAGAGTAAAACCTATTTAAAACGCAACATACATAAATCAAATCATTGCTAAATCTACACTTGAGGCTGTGGAGAAGAGAGGGTTCATTCAAATAACTGAGCTGTATTAGGTCCTCCGTTCCATCAAGGATATTTGGATTTGCCGGTAATAAACTTTCTACATGCACAGTTGACATCTGAACAATATAATGGCCATTAGTGCAAAAGAACATGAACCTTACTATTGATCCGGGGTAAAAATAAGGGAATTTTACATACATAGCACCAATTCTTATCTATTTATATATATCACACCTAAAATTTCATATTTACATGCATAGCACTTTGTTGTTTTAAACCTATGCGTGAAAAGATGTATTTCACTTTAAAAAAAATAGTAATAGTATTAATTTTTGATGTGATGTTAAAGATTTGAGTGCTAATTGTGTTAATATGAAGGTTTAGGTGTGAGACAAGTGAACATATAAGAATTGTGAGGTACGTAATGTAACTGCCTCTAACAATAAATATAAGAGATGTCTCACTTTGCCACCGGAAAGAAAAATTTTTGCATGCTGTCCTGACAGAGATTGGACATTACCCTGCTCCCAGCCAGAATCTAGAAATGGACACCAAACACGAAGATTCTGCAAAAAGAGGTGTGACATTCCCACGAGCATACCAAGCACTTTGACAGTGATAAACAATATTTAAAAGAACAAGCATGCAAATAACTGATTCATAAACATAAGTGAAATTTATGACCAGAAAAGAGCACACAGGCAAAAGCACGCTAATAACTTAATCTAGATTGCCATCAAGAAGTAAAAAATATGTAAACAAACGTATATAGAACAAACAATAGGAAAAAACGTATAAATTTATAAAGGCGAATATGAGCACAGTATACTATGAGGAAAAAATAAATAAATAAAAATAACTTACAGCCTCAATAGCTGACCCAAAGAACAATAGTGAAGAATAAGCATACAAGGAGCAGGGTATCGGTAATTTGTTAAAAATAAACAATTAAGAAAATGACATTGATTATGACAATTAGAGTACAAATCCATTAAAAATATCAAGTGTGAGGTTTTAGAACTCCTACAAAAGAGAACTATGATGCTGAAGGCAGGATTTATTTCGTTAAGTTGTTTTTCTGGGTACTAGAAGAACAAACTTGCCAGGACCAGGGAGGCAAATTAAGCCCAATTGGTGATGCGGACAGTCCTGGACCCTGAACCAGAGGGGTCATCCGGCCTCTCCTATCGACCAAGGGTTGTGGCCAATAGGAGTGGGGTCCCCCTTTAGTTACCTAGTATTATATATATATATATGCTGTTTCTTCATATTTAAGTCAGTTTTTGATGAATTTTCTATCGGTACAGCCGTCCTCTCCAAGTCTTCCCTTCTAGAGTTGTATCCAAGGGCGAGTGGTGCTCCTCATTCCGAGGTGGTGATCATCCTCGACTTTCCCATCCTCCGCAATTTTCTCTCTACCCGCTGTCGCCGTAACTGCTGCAGCCACCCCAAAGACAAAATTTGTGCTGTCTCCTGCAGGCCTCAAATCTCCCACCTGCTCTTCCAGCCATCCCCTCCCCATCCACATCCACATCCCAGCTGCAACTCCGCCATGCCACCTGCGGTCACCTACTGCAGCCATACCTTTCACCCTCCAATCTCCAAGCCGCAATCCATACCATATGGCTTTTGTCATTCTCCAACCATCCCAATTGCAGGCTACCTTCCTTCCCCTACAGCCCACCTCCAATGCCTGCCAACCACTTCCAGCCTTTCCTATCTAGCCCCTAACCGCGGCACCACCACCATCCTATTTTAAGTTTGTATCAAGTCTTTTGTTATTTTATAGTTCTGTGAGTCTTGGTTGTAATCCCTAATTGATTTCAGTAATAAAAGTTGTATTTTCTGTTGTTGTTTTGTTAACTCTAGTATCATTTGATATCAGAGTTAGCCTAGCCCTAGCCTTATCCTAAAATTTCTAGCATCCACCACTACCCCACCCCATCTTCACCCAAAATTTTGTTTTCATATCCCACATCACCACTACACAACTCATTCCACCAACTTACAACCAAAACATAATTATGCCGCTGAGGAGGCAATTGCCGAAACATGATCAGGAGTTTACCATGGAAGAGTTATAGCGACAGCTTTGCCAAGTATTACAACGACTTGATGACATTGAGGAAAGGACCCATGAAAAGTTATCAGCGAGCGTGGTAGCGTGATCCGAAGAAGAGAGGAAAGAATACATGAATCCCTAATGTAATATAATGATGAAATGCTTGTTGGATAACGCAGAGAGAAGTGTCTATTAAAGGATACAGAGGTTCAAGAGTAAAAGTGGGTCTACTATATTTCAAGAGAAGAATGAATACAGATGATTTTGTTGAATGGATGCAGACCGTCAAGAAGATTTTTGAATACAAAGAAGTGTCAAATGACCGGAAGGTGAAACTAATTGTTATCAAGTTGAAGAGTGCCTTTTCGTGATCGGAGAACTTGAAGAGAGAAATAGAGAGGGAAGTAGCACGATTACTTCTTGGGAAAATATGAAGAAAGAGTTGCAGCGACAACACCTACCCCCACACTACCGTCAAGATCTTTTCTTGAGGCTCCACTACCTAGAGAAGAGAAACCTATTAGTTGAGGAGTACACAACAAAGTTTACATAGTTCAAGCTCAATTGTGATTTGGCAGAGCCAGGGGAGCACATAATTGTCAAATACTTGGGAGGCTTGAAGCTCGCCATCGATAACATGTTCCAGGTACAACCTAACTGATTTTTGGTGGCGTTCAAACCTTAACATTGACGATGGGAGAGGCAACAGAAGCAGATCATACACACCGCAATTCGGTAGGAATACAACTTAGGGAGTTGAGAAGACTGGCCGGAAGAAGCACAAAGTCACTTTGAGTGAAAAGAAATTTGAGAAGAGTAGCACGCCCACTAATAGTCCCAGCCATAAAATGCTTCAGATGTCATAAATTTGGGCACATCACCTTAATTGCCGACGAGCCAAGTTTTTTCCTTCACCGGACCAAGATTCAGCAGAAGAACATAGTGAGGAGAACCAGTTTCCACCAAATGAGGGGGAGATGCTTGTGGTTCTACGGGTACTTTAGACTGAGACAACAAGGGAGAAGCAATAGCTTCACCACGACAAATTATAAACTCGTTGCACTGTGAAAAGAAATATATGCAACATCATCATAGATGGAGGTAGCAGCAAGAATATGGCATCTACACAGGTTGTAGACAAGTAGAGCTTCGAGACTCAGAGGCATTCCCAACTGTATTCTTTGATGTGGTTAAAGGAAAAAAAGAGATGTTCGGTGGAGTTTTCCATTGAAAATCAGCAACAGGATCAGGTGTGGTTCGACGTGGTGCTCACAGTTGACTGAGACATCTTCTTAGGGAGATCATGATAGTTTAACCAAAGGACTCAGCATGACGGGTACAGGTACAACTATTCATTCATCAAGGATGGAAAGCGCGTCATTATCTTACCTTCTGCAGAGTTTGATATTACAAATTCTCTTGCCAGCAAAGAAGCTTCAAATGAATTCGTTTTGGTGATGACAGAGGATAGCAAGACAGTGGCGCCAATTTCCGACACTAAACAACCACTACAGAGAGAGTTTCAGTACATCCTGATTAATAACTTGTCATCATAGACGCCACCATTAGAGCAAGTTCAAACTGTTATCACATCAAACAAGGATAAGCCAACATGGGGCTATCTTTGGAAGACACTGCAAAACGCACATGGCACAAAGTTCAAGTTCAGTTCAACATTATACCCTCGTATGGTTGGATCGATGTGGATGGTTGCTCGAAATTGGAGAAGACTCGGATGTTTTGGGGAGGCAATGCAGTCGATAGTAAGATCCACGTGCTTCTAGGACTGCAGTCAAAGATTCTTCAACCTCGGGAGGTTACCGCAGCTCCACACCATATCATGAGAAGTCATAAGCTTCGATGGATGAGGTCGAAGCTCCCCTCGTCTCGGGATACTGATGTCGACATGCCTAGCCCCTGAACAAGACACTCCTTCCCCTAACCCCATTAACAGGTTTAGCATAACACAGAAAGGGGTCGACAGACCCCTCCTTGAGTTCAGGGTTTTGGCCAATAGGAGTGGGGTCCTGAAATAAGGATACATATAGATTGTGTGGAAGAGCCCAAACATGGCACCCTTCCCCCACGATAACTATTACATACAAAAGTTTCCAAAAAAAGAGAAAATACAAAAAATTACAAGAGGCCTAAATAAAAAAACAAAAAATGCCAAAAAAAACATAGTATCGGGTAGCTAGAGAGTGACCCAATTTTCGTTTGCCTCTACCTCTAGTTCTAGGAAAGGAACCAAATAATAAATTGATGAGATGAGTGTCAGTGTCAATAGTGACCAAAGTATCATCCAATAAGTTTCCAAGCTCGAGTCGGCTTTCAGTCTTCTTCTTCCTCCTGGAATAGACCTCTCATTCTTCATCCGAAGATTTGCTCGCCTGATCAGTAGATTGGTCTAAATTGTATCGAACTTCGAAGCCGCGACCCGACGACGACTGAGAGGACGGAGAGACAACGTCGGAGAAATGATGTTGCGGTAAGGGTTGCTAGGGTTCGACATGGGTTGAAACCCTAGCAAAACCAAGCGTGGGAGACGACATCGACAGACTTGATGTCCTCCTTTAATTACCTAGTATTATATGTATGTATATATGTGTTTGTGTGCGTGTGTCTATTTAGAAAAGCCCAAGGACGAATATATTAAAAAAGGAAATGTACATATAGGTTGGATGAAAGGGCCCAAATTGGCACCCTAACCGTCCGGCATACAACACACACGTAGGTCCCAGAAAAATACATGTATACCCAAAAAAGAAAACCAAAATTAAAACATAGACATATAAACTCTACGCCAAAATTCTATCAACACTCGCATATTAGGAAGCTTGAAAATGATCCAATTTATCCATGCCTCTGCCTCTGATTCTAAGAGAGAAGTCAGCTAACAAATTGTTAAGTTTACTGTCATTACCCAAAACAACTAATATATCATCCATTAAGTTTGGTAAAAGACCTTCATTATTTTTCTTCTTCCTGGATGTGCAAACTTGTCATTCCTCATCCGAAGATTGACTCATGTGATCAATGAATTGGTTTGAAGATTGTCGAACATGTATAGGTTGTTACACATCATTAGTCCCATTTGTCTGACTAACAGTAACAACTTGCTCGATCTGATGAGGCGGTAGAATTGCAGTAGAAATACTACCACCTGTTACATCAATGATAGGTTCTAAGGTAGATGAAGTATGAAATGTCTCCTCTGCCCCCATGAACAAAAATTCCCTAGGAGGATTGTATGGAGACTGAGTGGTTGGCAGATTGCCCGCGGGGATAGTGACACCTTGAGGAGTATCCTTCTGATGATCAATAGTGTCAATAACTTGGAGCAGATCAGAAAGGAGGAATCTCTGCCTCTGGTTGAACACTTTGTTTTTTTGGTCTTAAATGGTAGTGTAGATGGTGACATTGAGAATTGGAGTGGTCGCACATACGACAATTCGAGCAATACGAAGAAAAATGCTCAATAACAACCTTTTACCAATATCCTTG